GAGATTAGAATTCAAGACCTATCAGTCTCGTGAGTGAACGTTTAACCTATAGACCACTGAGCCGACCGGCATCCAATAGTGTTAATATCTAACTTAAACTAATCCACGAAATAGAGCGATACATCCACCACTGCCATCAGTGAGTTACTATTTCACAACAGACCCAGTTTGAATACCACTGGTCACGACTTCTCACTAGTAGTCTAGTAAATACCTGTTTAAGACATTCACTAGTGAGCATATATTGATTAGTATCGGAACGTGTTTAGTGGATATTATAGTAACTTTAGTAGAGATTATGAATCAACTGAAGCTAGTCCAACATGGAAAGCGTGGAAGTACTGGATGACCGTTTTTCATCTTATTGTGGGACATAGCAACATAGGAACACGATAGGACGAAAAAAGGCCGTCCAGTACTTCCAGGCATTCCATGATCATCTAGCTTCAATTGACTCATGGTCTAAACTATTAAGATTATTAATATTTGTAATGGTGATACATTTGAAGAATGTCTGTTTTCTATCTGATAGACAATTTAGTTTATATCTAATAATGTTCAAATTGTGCATTTCTATTTCAAAAACTGTTTAAAATTGAAGTTGCAACATTCGATAGCAACTTAGAGTTTCTCATGATTAAGCGTTTATCTGGAGACCTTAATGTTCTGAGTGAGATCTTAGACTAGGACGAAACAATTGTCTAGCCCGTCCTAGTTTTCAATAGCATCCCAGCTTAGATCGGTCTGTGGTGAATACAACCTACAAATAATCTAATAGGTTTTTCTGTTAAACTCTGTCATAATATTATCTACTTTGACTAAAATCTATCGTGGATAAACAGAATCAGTCAGTCAGTTACAACGTAAGACCAAACATATATGTGCATCAGTTCAAGTTGCCATACCTCATTAGCACAACAAAATGAACACCAAATTCATAGAAGCTGTTAATTCAATGGTGGTAATATATGAAAGAAAGATTACATACAAGGATATAGTAGAGAAAGAAAGAATTAGTTGGTAGAAAGAAGATATGAAGCGATTTTAATCTCTTAGTTTAAGGGAAGATAGAGAGAGTATACACATACGCCATTGTAATCGATTCTGAGCCATATCACCCAGACCCCAACCAGGTAGTCTGCATCTACAAACATGGCTAAGAATAGAAGTTAGTGACTTCAAGCACTGATGTCACGTTTTGGTCTGGCCGCCCCTAACTTTCTTCCAGTCATCCCTAACACCGGTTACCATTGCGCGTCGTGGTAATCTGTGTTCAGGCATACGCAGCACGTGGCCCAACCATCTCAGTCGATGAAGGTTCATAACCTCATCAACTGATTTGCCATCATTCCCTAATACCGCGCGTCTAACCTCACTATTACTTACCTGGCTATCCCAGTAGATGCGGATAAACAGACTAACGAAATATATTAATTATGTGAAACCATGTTCACTATGTTTAAGTGTAATAGTTTATGCAAGAAGAATAACTGTCAGAAACATAGCACTAGTATGAATTTCAGGCAGCTAAGAGGAAAGAGAGAATTAACCAAAATTTGTACCCATTGCCATTCATCAATAAAACGTATTTATAATCTTGAAGTAAATGACTCGTCTACTTCTGATTGTGAATCCAAATCAATCTCTGTCATAATATATGGAAGCTTATCATTAGGCTATTCAAGTTGTAACTTACTTCCTACACAACTAAGTTTTTAAGAATAAATGGTTACTGAATTGCAAGTAGCATCATTCTATCGAATGATTATGACTCAATAAATTTGCTATATTACTGTTTCAATCTGTTTCACGCTTGTATCATTAACCGACTTTAAATCATTTCCAAATTTTCAATGTAGAACGATTGAAGTTTATCCTCTGTAGATGACTTTCCGTTGGTTAGTCCTATATTCAAATGTTACTTTTTCTACTTCAGTTTTAGTTACAGCTTAATAGTATCGTTAATCATCATAAACAGTTTTCAAATCTTGTACAAAAACTTATAACTGCTTTAAGAGTAAGCTTCAAAAATTAAATTTTACCTGACAAAGTACATTGCATTCAGTACTTTAATTAATCGAACTCAGACTATATTGTATGAATTTAACAAACCTCTCAAAATTCCTTTAATCTATTTATCTATGAAATTCAAACAAACAAATAGTTATCATAATTAACGTTAGTTCCAAACCTTAATCTAATACCATTATAATTGCTTCTAATGTAATTACTTACACTATTAATCATGAAATCGTTTTATTTCTTACTTTAATGCTCAATAACCAAGTTCATGTTTACTTGTTAAATTTGAGTTTACGTATATGAGGTTATGTAACTTCGAGTTACCAAACGGAAATTTATGTACTCAGCTTCTAGTCACGACAATTTTTGTGTCGGCTCATGATATTATACAATTACCCATAGGGAAATGCATGAATTAATATTCAAATTATACTACCTTCAAACTACTTAATCAATACTTTTTGGTCTCGTGTGTTAGGACTAAATATAATTAAATATAATTAAATCCTTTAACGAGGACCAATTGGATTAAATCCTTTAACGAGGACCAATTGAATTAAATAATACTCCAATATTCAAACTGATTGTGGTGGTCCAATAAAACTATCTAAACAACAGTCGACCATCATCATTTACTTTTGTAATATGAATATGATCATTTAATAGAGACATCATACAGTAGTCACTTAGGAGTTTTCAATGATAAAAGTATGAATAGTGGAATGCAGACAGATTTCCAAGTATTACGAATGATGAACATCCAGTGGAATGTAAATAGTTTGTCACCGATTATTTTATAGATACATATTCATCTGTTTATTGATAATGTCTCTAGTGTTGTCTTCGTCAACTATATGACCCACTTCAATTAACGGCTGATCAGAAATCATATCAATAGATACAACACCCTGATTTTGTTGATTTTCATTATGAACATTAATGTGATCGGCAAGAAAATGACAACACTAGATGTTACTTCACTCTTTATAAATGTTTCCGTAAATGAGATAACACCTACTTTAAATGATTGTATTGAGAAATACAACCTTAATATTTGTATTCCAAAACATTATCTAAAAGAACTACTTCTACGTCGTACTTTCAACGTACAACCGAGATTCACTAATGATTTCTACAAATAAACTAATGGAATTGAGACGGACCTCATCCTAACTGACTGTTTCATGGTCGAGATCGAGAATACGAAGCTTCAACCAGCAATTGATAACTTCCACTTATACAACAGATATATGAATGATACATTCATCATGTGTGGTAATAATTTGAAACTCAGTGTCATTCTAGATAAATCAAGTAGGTGATATCATTCGATTAAGTTTAAGTAAGAAGCAGAAGTGAATACAGAATTTCATTTCCCATTCCAAAAGAAGCAAAATGGTTGTTTACAAAGATTATTATACATGAAACCAACTTGAAATAATTAGTATACGAATTTCCACAACTGAATTCTATTGAACAGGAACAGAAACTTTATCTCCTTTTTATCCACGAGAAACAAATGAATGTTTATACCCCAATAGGTACTCATTATCCGTAATACTTGGAACTTTTGAACAAGCTGTTATGCAATCATTATTTTTCTTTTTCAGAAGACCACTTTATAAATTCAATCACAATGAATATGATTGTACTTTCTCCATGATGTTAGCTTTATTTTTCCTTTAACGATACAATTGTTTCCTTTTATTTTATGTAAAAGATAGCTATTGCACGTATGAATGATGAAAGAAATCTTGTTTGCCATATCTTTCCAATCAATTCGATTTTGTTCGGGAGAATTAAGTTTGTACTTGATAATTTAGGTTGAATTACCGATGCTTCATAGGAAGATGGAGCGTTCTTTTACAAAAAATGAGCGTTTCCTTAGACTGATTGACGCGGTATATGGAAGTGTCTGGGATAACATAAATTTCAATAGTTGAGATCATGAGTCAATTGAAACTAGATGATCATGGAAAGCCTGAAAGCATTGGACGGCCGTTTCGTCTTACCGTGGGACTCTTCAATAGTGCGCATACACGGTCCCATCTCACGAAATCCGAACCCAGGACTTATCAGTTTCGCGCGCCAACGCTTCACCTATAAACCATTGAGCCGACCAGCATATAACTATGTTAATGTCTAACTTCAACTAATCCACGAAATTGAACGATACATCCATCATTGTCATCAGTGAGTTACTATCTCACAACAGACACGGTTGAACTCCACTGGTCACGGCTTCTCACTAGAACTACAGGATATACATCTTGAAGCCAGTCACTAGTTTCAATTGACTCATGATCTCAACTATTGAAATTACTAGAATCTCCACAAAATCCCTTCTGATAACATAAATTGTACAATTTATAAATTTTATACCCATTACTCTTTATGAAGTGTTTAACAATCAAGTGTCAAGTGGTTAGGGGTGGCCAAACTAAAACGTGGCATCAGTGCTTGAATTCACTAACTTCTATTCTTAGCCATGTTGGTAGATGCAGACTACTTGGTTATGGTTTACGTGACTATCGTAATCAATGGTTGGAAACTCTGGGAGACATGGTTCAGAATCGATCACATTGGCGTATGTGTATACTCTCTCTATCTTCCCTTAAACTAAGAGATTAAAATCGCTTCATATCTTCTTTCTACCAACTAATTCTTTCTTCCTGTACTATATTCTTATATGCAATCTTTCTTTCATATATTACCACCATTGAATTAACAGCTTCTATGAATTTGGTGTTCATTTTGTTGTGCTAATGAGGTATGGCAACTTGAACTGATGCACATATATGTTTGGTCTTACGTTGTAACTAACTGACTGGCTGACTAACAAGTGGTTTCTACAAACATTTTAAGTGTTTGTAATGCAACATTTGAATTATCATGTAATTTCTATATTCTATGATCTCATTTAAAATATGAAACTCTTTGACATTTTCTTCTTTACTTTTTCTTTTTTTCTTCAGATGATGACACTATTAGATATTGTAACGGATGGATATTTCATTGAAACAAATAAACAAAATCATTTATATACTACTGATAATAATCGATTCATAAATGATTATCAATTGAATCTTAATGATTATTCTTCATTAATTCAATCAGATAATTGTTATAATGATATAAAATATCAAAAACCGAATAAATTGATATCATTACTTGATTATCATAATGATATTATACAATTAGCTAGTTATTATGAACAAATATTGAAAACATATGGGAAAGTAGAACTTGAAGCATTAGCTTATAGAATATCAGCTGGTATGTAAACATTTCTTATTGAATTAAAGAAATAATCAATGATGTTCATAGAATTATAGAATAATGATAGCATTGTACATTTATGAAACTTCAGGTATTTCATCAAAGAGTATTTTCAAATCATTGTTTAAGTATATGTTGGGTAAACTAAGTAAACAATGGTCCCCAAATGCCCTGGTACGGTTGAGAGTGGGGAGAGTCCTCTCATCTGCTTCGGTTTGGGCACCCGAACAGTATCACAGGCCTCACACAAATTAAATGAGATTTGTGTGGCGCATATGTATTTGGTGTCTCCTTGTACCAATATCTATATGTTCAAGTAAAATAAATAAGTAAACAATGATGGGGTTTTATGTGAAAAATAATAATATTATTTTATTTTTATTTATTAAAAAAGTGTGGCGCATATATATTTGGTGCCCCCTTGTACCAATATTTATGTGTTCAAATAAACAAATAAAAAATAAATTTATGTTAAAAAGGTAATATTTACGGTTCAAGCTATAACCTTTATTTAACTTAAATTGTTGGGGTGGGTATTACACATGTTCATTCACCATATGAGCAAACGTACGATACTAACTGGCATTGAATTTTATTGATATTTACTTAAACACATAAAAACTGGTAGAAGGAAGCAACAAATAGATATGTGCTACATAAATCATTCCATTTGTAAGAGGGCTGGTATACTGCTTGGGTGGCCAAACCGAAGTAGGTGGTTTCCCCAGGATGACACACCCGAGCCTTTGACCTAAAGGTCTCATCCACAAGGCAATGGAGCATCGTAAGGAGATGCAGTCCCATGGTAGCCGGTAACCAACGATTTGTTAATACACCATTTTTTTCCTCAGGATCATAGAGCCTATGTACACTATTGGTTTGGAATCACGGTTTTCCAACTCCCCTAAGTGTATTCTTCGTAACCACCGACCCGGCTAAAGCACCGGACATCTACTTTTCGTCCTCTCAATTTCATAACCAACAGGTTCACCTTGAGAAGGCAATGAGTAGGACTTTCCTGGTAGTGGTTGTATGAAGGTGGACATATGAGAGCATTTGGAGATGTAGAGTTAACTCGTCCCACTCTCGGCCGTACCAGGGCATTTGGAGGCGTTGATTTAAACATTGAAAATGTTTGGAGCTGTTAAAAGAAAATATAAAGTCATTTAATGAAGATTGTTTGCGTACAAGCTAGGATCGAATCCTTTAATAAAACATTGAAACTATTTATCCTAAACTCTGGGACTTTTACAGACATAATTTCACTTTTTTCAATATCTTTCATTTACTCTGTGCCCAATATTTATGGAACTTTTTATGCAGAAATTCACTTGATGTCGTTTTACTTGTATCTTCACATTGTTATTTAGGACTGCAGTTGATCAGTCTCTTGTTGGGACATGTGCATCCTGTGAGGGTTGCTTCGATATAGCCTTCCACTACTAGCCATTATCCGTCTTTTTGTATGCATATTTTGTCGAAAGTTCACATAACAGATAGAGCCTCAAATTATTTGTGGTAAAATAAAATGGGGTGAAACAAGTCGAAAATCTTGAAGAAAACCCGCACAAAATATGAATTTTGCTTTTAGCAGTAGTAAAAATGAATGTTTGTAAAACTTATAAATTTTGACAATGGTTTATTGGTTAAACCACTAGGTTTTCAACTATTACGACGCGAGTTCGAATGTTGTTCAACTTGATACCGCTTGAACATTAGGAAAGCATCACCATTCATTCGACTGTGTACTAACATTGGTGAAAGGTGACGAAGTTCAGCAACCATATTACATGTCATTATCAAATGAGATTTTGCAGAATGGCCCTAATATTGATTCTCAAATATATTTTTATTTCAAGTACAAACCCAATTACTCTAATCTGTAAAAGAGTGTACCTCCATTGTCTATAGATGGCAGATGTTATTCGTAGCAATGAGCACAAACCTCTTACTGGTTAACGGTTATCGATTGAATCAACATCTGGTATTCTCTCGAGTGTTTGACTGTCATATTTAACAACAGCTATCGAATAGTTCATATTTATTTTTTGATATATTTGATTAGACATGATTCTCCTTTCGTTAATTTTTCAACTCAGACTCACTGACTGAACGATATTATAGTTGCTGTGAAACTTGATAATCTTGAGTTAAATTCCCTGTTGGATCGTGGGTTCATTTAAATGGAGAGCAATAAACAATGGCGAACAAACGGTTGAACCCTCCCTGACCTCTTGATCGTCAAGTCTTAGGTTCAAAATGGCCTTTGCTTAGTTCCATTCATTAGAGAGGTAATATTTTTACCTCCCACAGAAAGTTATAACTTAGAGTGCCCCAATCTAAACTTTATTACTCAGTTATTTGAACAAATTATAATTAAACTATTACATTGATAGTCATGTTGCGATCAAATGCCTATAATTTACCTTCAGTACTCCTAACCGATCATAGAATTTTCCTAGAAACTAGTGAATAATTCTAGGATTATTTTTTTATTTTAGCACGTCATTCATGTGAAAGCCCAAACAAGTTGAATTCAATCAATTTCAATAGCCCTACAAAATTTCGTTCAAAAAATGATATCTCTTATGATTGTCCATACAATACTGAAACATTTATAACTTCGTTTCATCCACCTATAACTTATCATTTGGAGGTGCATTTAACTAGTTCCAAATCGATTTACTTCAATCAATTACCAAGTCAACCAATTAATTGTCTACCATATGTTAATCATCATTCTAATTCGTCATTTATGAATAGATTATCATGTAAAGTATTTGTAGGTGGTGTGCCAATGCGTGGAAATCAAGTGACTACATGGACAAGAGATCAATTACATAAGGGATTATCTATTTTTGGCCCACTTAGTTTAATATGGCCGAAAGGCACTATTGTGATACCATCTGTCATAGACGGAAATAATTATAATCAAGCATTATGTGAATCACTACTGAGAACCGGTTTGAAACGAGGTAATTCATACGTAGTATCTGATTCAAAGTTATCTAATAGTTGAATTTATGAGTCCATTAAAGCTAGAAGCACTATAAGACCGTTCCGTCCTAGTATTGGACCCCTCAGGCGTGTGCACCCACGATCCCGCTCGCGGGATTCGGGCCCAAGATTTTGGTCTTGAGTGGGAACTCTTGACCACGAGACAACTCAGCTGGTATCCAACGCTGTTAATGTCTGGCTTCAACTAATTCACGAAATTGCTCCATCGTCCACTATTGTCTTCAGTGAGTTACTATCTCACAACAGACACGGTTGAACTCCACTGGTCACGGCTTCTCACTAGAACTCCAGGAAATATCTCTTGGTAACCGTCCTGAGTTCGAGTCTCGCAAAGAGGGATCGTGGATGCCCACTGCTGAGGAGTCCCATATTAGGACGAAATGGCCTTACAGTGCCCCCAGATTTTCCATGGTAGTCCAGCTTCAATTGACTCATCGATTCAACTATTAAATTACTATAATATCCACAAAACCCCTATCTAATTAACTTTGTAAATTAGGTAAGGTAATGAAGTACGTTTAATGTGAAATAGTGTAGACATCATTAACTTAGTTTCATATCTGCTTTTCAAATAAAAAATTAAATATTCTAGATCAAGTAATGAAAATTACAAACAAAATTACAGTTTGATGTGGATTCATAGAGAAAGACACATTTGATTGCCGACAGGAATTAATATTACTCGGAGCACTTCACATTTAAGGCATGTGAAAGTACCGTAATTATCAATTCTGTTATGGAATATTCCATAAAACACTGAGTGATTTTGACTCATTTTCATTCATAAAGTGGCATCAGTCACAGTAATTGTTGCAGTAGGAAATTTGAATATTTTAGGTCATTTATTCTAACTTATTGAAATGTAGTTCATCCATCCAATGCAAAGTTGTATTACTGGACTTGAAGACACATTGTTTGTATGTCATTCAAAGCTACCCCCTTTAATGTTCACACCCTAATGTAGATAACATAACATGCATCACAGGTTATAATTCTGGAAGGTCCTATTATGAATATTTACTGTATCTGAGAGACCCGTAACCAAATGTCTAGTGCTGTATAGGAAATTCGCTAATAAAAGCTTCTCTTATTATATTCATCCATGATATGATCGATTTTAGGACTTGATTTTTGAACAAATGTAAACAATCTTTTTTTATTCCAGTCCTGTGAGTTATTTTGTACATTCAAAAGTAATAATGAAAATTACAGAACTTCAAACTGGATTTTCAGTATATCCCTAACATTAATCCCATTGTACAAGTCTCTTACTTACACCAGTTACCCCTTGTGGAGGAGCATAGGTCACCCACTAGCACTCGCCATCCAACCCTGTCTTGGACAAACCCTTCCAGCTCTTTCCAGTTGTTATTCATCCTTTTCATATCTGATTCTATTTCCCGACGTAGTGTGCTCTTTGGCCTTCCTCTTTTCCGTTTCTCTTCAAGATTCCAAGCTAGAGCTTGCCTCGTGGTGCAGTTTGATGATTTGTGTAATGTATGTCCTATCCATTTCGATCGTCTTTTCCTAATTTCCTCTTCAGCTGGAAGCTGGTTTGTTTTCTCCTACAGAAGGCTGTTGCTGATGGTATCCGGTCAAAGGATGTTGAGTATCTTGCGTAGACAGCTATTTATAAATACTTTTACCTTCTTGATGATGGTTGTTGTAGTTCTCCAAGTTTCAGCTCTAAGCAGTAGAACTGCCTTGACATTCGTATTTAAGATTCTGACTTTGATGTTGGTTGAAAGTTGTATTGAGTTCCATATGTTCAATTGTAGGAGTACAAGTCTCAGTTACAGCTTAAATCTCAGTAAACTATACACATATATCATGTATATATTATCTATGAATAATTAACAAAATCTCCAACTTCATTCAAATATCATTATAATTTAGGTTATTGTTATGCAGTGTTCAATGATCAAAGAAGTGTAACATTGTTATTATCAATGTGTTATCGACGTTCCAAAGGTTTCTATATCAATCTTTCAACATTATGTCCTGATTTAGAAAAAACTCGATTCGATTCTTTACAAATTATTCCATGGGATAAACAAGATTCATTTTATCCATTTATCTGTAATCGGTGAGTTTATACAATATAACATTCTTTGTTATTGTGACTGTAGTATTTTTTAATTTATGTAGTTACTGACTTATGTCTGTTACTCGCAATAGAGCGTAGGCCACACACCAGCATTCTCCAACCCACTCTGTCCTGGGCCTTCTTTTCGAGTTCTATCCAGTTTTTATTCATTCCTCCCATGTCTGTCTTCATTTCTCGGAGTAATGTATTCTTTGGTCTTCCACTTCTCATTTGGCCTTGAGGATTCCATGTAAGGGCTTGCCTTGTGACACAGTTCAATGCCTTCAATGTGTGTCCTATCCACTTCCAGCGCTTCTTCCTCGTTTCTTCCCCCGCTGCGATCTGGTTTGTTTTCTCTCACAGTAGGTTGTTGCTGATAGTGTCTGACCAACGGATACGAAGTATTTTGCGTAGACAACTGTTAATAAACACTTGTATCTTCGGGATGATGGCTTTCGTAGTTCTCTAAGTTTCGCCCCATATAGTAGAACGGTCTTGATATTTGTATTGAAATTCCTGACCCTGGTGTTGGTTGATAGTTGTTTTGAGTTCCAGATCTTCTTCAGTTGTAAATATAATGTTCTAGCTTTGCTGATCCTCGCCTTCACATCTGCATCAGATCCACCGTGTTCATTGATCATTCTACCCAGATATGTAAAGGTTTTTACATCTTCCAAAGTTTGTCCGTCAAGTTTGATTTGATTGGTGTATGTTGTGTTGTATTGGGCAATTTTGCTTTTCCTTTTGTATATGTTGAGACCCACTGCAGCTGAGGCCTCTGATACACTGGTTGTCTTCTCTTGCATTTGTTGTTGCGTGTGTGATAGAAAAGCCAGATCATATGTAAATTCCGGATCGTCCAGTTGCATCCTAGTTGTCCACTGTAACCGAAATTATATATACAAAAACTAATTCAACCTCTTTTTTTCTTACCATGATCGTGATCTATGGTTTTTCAGAGTTTTCAACTCTCCTCTCTTTTACATTCTATCAATCTTTTACATTCAGATGATTGCATTCTGATTGCATTCTATTTCACTTTTGAAATTTATATTATCATGTTGCGTAACTAATTTTCACAATTATTAGTCTTTATCTCATTTCTGTGTCATTCTTGATGTTTATTTAACATCATAGCAACGATATTAACAGTTTTTTTTATTTTACTCCAGTGTTGCGACGTTCAATGAATCAATATCATTACCAACAAAAATATTTCAGTAAAGATCATGAGTTATTTGACAAAAGTCGTGCATGCCGTTGTATACTGGTTTAGTGATCTAAAGGTTATCCTCTCGCAACGAAGCCTAACGGGCCTGGGTTCGATCTTGATTGAGTTTGTGGATGTGTACTGCTCAGAAGTCTTATACCAGGATAAAACAGTTATCCAGTGCTTCCTGATTCCCAATCATTGTCTAACTTAGGTTGGGTTTTGATATTAGTGAGATTAATAGGGAGACATTTGTGGATGTACGGTATTGAGAATAAATCAGATGAGAAAATTTCTTCACCGAAATTAATTATTAGCACAAACATGCATCTCAAAATATAGAGTTGAATCAAGTTCATATCTTTTTTCTGAAAATCTAGCCACTTATCTGTTTGGAAGACAGCATTTAAAATAGACTAGGATGTAGGGATGAATTAAACATGGTTGGGCTCCCAAAAGTCTTGGTACGGCCGAGAGTGGGGAGGGTCAGCTCTCCCTCTCCAAATGCTCTCATATGGCCACGTACATACAACCACCGCCAGAGGGTCCCTACTTACTGCCTTCTCACGATGGGCTTGTTGTTTACGAACCCTAGAGGACGAAAAGCGAATGTCCGGCGCTTTAACCTAGTTGGTGGTTACGGAGGATCCACATAGGAGAGTTGGAAAACCTTGATTACAAACTAACGATGTACATGAGCTCCAGGATCCTAAGGAAACAAATGAAGTATGAACCTGTTGTTGGTCACCGGCTACCATAGGACTGCATTTCATTATGTTGCTCCACTGCCTTGTGGATTAAACATTTAGGTCAAAGGCTCGGGGTGTGGTTTCCTAAGAAAAGTACCTGCTTCAGTTTGGGCACCTGGGCAATATTCCAGCCCTCATGCAAATCGAATGATCCATATGGCGTATATCTATTTGCTGCCTCCTCGTATCAATGTTTATGTGTTTAAATAAATAAATAAAACATGGTTGGATAAACAAAGATTATTTTGTAATTCGAATCATTTCTATTAAACTATCTGTAAAGATATCAGTTTAAATGCCATTAGATCTAGAAACTTGCTATTATCATTATCACACCTTATGTTTTGCTGTATAAGATTACAGAATGGACTGAATAAAATCAGGTTGAAGCACTTTATACATTCTATTATACATATATTCAGTTTAATAATCAATTGTTGTTTCTTTTTCTATGCTATTGAGATGGTGGAGAAAATTTGTAGCTCAGATGGATGATTTTGATGGAGAACAAAACTCCATCAAAAAAATTTTCTATGCTAATCTGCTTTACCAATCAAAGGGATTAGATATTGCAGTATGGTGAATTGTATATCGAATGTACTATTACAACCATCATCACTTGAATTTTATATTGATTTTCTGGCTTGTTGTTGTAGAATATTAGAAGTGTATTGTTTCGGTATTAAATAATGGTGATTCTAATTACTAACAATGTATATGTTCGTTAACATTGATAATTATATTTTGTTGAGGAACACTAGGGTGTATGAAATCCGGTCACATTGGTTAGATATTATCATAAGATGTAAATATATTATTTTCGCAGTTCGAATTATGAACTGATCTTAGCTAGACCATTATTGAAAACATGGAAGTATTGGACGGATGTTTCGTCTTAGTATAGAACTCCTAAGCAGTTCGCATATACGACTCTGCACGTGAATGATGGTCACTTAATATCTCGAATTGATTGATGTTATAACTGTGGGTCATCAGACTTCAACTCAATGGTCTAAAGCCTATATTCATCCTGTGAGACTTAAAGGTCTCTAATTCAACTCCTAGTTGGATGAATCCCAAACTAGAAAGAAATAGGTGTTCAGTGCTTGTTTTTTTTATGGTCGGTTCACTAGAATCTATCGGTGATGTAAAATATTTTCAAGTATTCCCTTGCATGCAAAATTTTTTCGATAAACGATCCAGTTTCACAAGTGTGGAAGATCAGATGAACAGAATAAAATGAAATAAAATCTATGTGAATAACTTGGAATTTAGATTGGCCTATGAACTTTTACTTGAAACTTTTTCATACTACTTATTATTAGCAAGTAGAATAGTACATTTATATGATATATTAGAGCAATACATTTCGACCAATCTGATCGCACATAATACACTTGTTTAGAATATATATATAAAGAAGTAACTCCGTCTGGAGCCCCTCTGGGGCTACTGTAGGTCCCAAGCCCGGATGAAGGATGAGGGTTGGGCATGGGGTTAGCTACCCCGTCCCGTAGAAAGCTAACTCGTAAAAAAAACGCTAACCAAAAAGAAAGAAATGGCCGTCTAATCTAGAAATGGGGGTAAGAGGAGACAAAGATAATGAAGAAAACAGTAATGTGAAAACAATTAGAAACCTCATCACTCTGGATAATATAAGGGTAGGTTTAAGGTGAGAACAAACTGATCTTCAATATTTTCCTTACTTACTTACATCCACTGAACTCTGTTCTGGCCAGTCTTTTTCAGTTACTGTTTATCCTCTTGATTTATGTTCCCAGTTCGCGACAAATCGTGTTCGTGAATAAAGTTGAAATTTCGAAAACGTAATAAAATGTGCAATGATATTTTTCAGCAATACATTTCAAATAATCTGATCATACATTTAATTGTCAAGATGTTTAATTGTATGAGGTTGTATCTAGTTTAATAGCATTCATCACACTGTGACATACAGTATTCCGTACTAACTAAAATGTGTCTCATATCATGATTGAACTCAAACTCTATTTCAGTGGACTTTTGACAACTTGTCTTTTGTATTGATTCGAAATAAACAACTTTTAGCAAATCGCTACACTAACGATTAGGTGTTATTCATCAACTTCGGTTACTAATCTTATTCCCTTTTATAACTGTACTTAATGGCGTTCTTAAGATAGTTACTTTCTTAAGCTTGACTCATATGAAACTTGTTTATATCAACTTAGTAACTGATTTAAATGTCATTTTTGACTTTGCACAGAAACAGTGAAAACATAACTTTTCAGTCTGAAGAAGGAAGAGGGGAAACTGAAACCCGGACGAAAGTTTACTCCATATTCGTTGGTGCACTTCATGGAATGATTACAGCACGAGCTTTATTTACTATTTTCAATGACCTCTTTGGCAATGTTAATTACGCTGCGTTGGATACAGATAAATATCACTATCCGATAGGTAGGTTATCAATTTATGAATATGTTAATAATACACTTTGTAAGTAGCTTAAATGTTTGATGCATTTCGAATCAGTGTTGATGAGTTGTGGCTTTGAAAGAAGCGATAATTATGAATTTTCCTAATTTCAAGCCCCCAGTGGACCTATTTATGGCCGTCCGATATTTCACTATGTCATCATTGTTTCTAATTAATTACGTGACGTTTACATCGCTTTCTACCACTTATGGCATGATTGTCGTTGTCCTGTACGGTTTGATAATTCGTCTATCTAGGCAAATGAGTGTGTTGAGTTAGCCGTTAGATGTGCTATGTTGTCTGTGTTCGGAGGTAGAAATACAATAATAAATGAAGCTTAGCTGCCGACTTAGCTTTGAATTCCAGGCTAGGTATAGAGAAAGGCTTGTGGTTGATTATATTGAACAAAACGCATCCTCCCTCAAGGCTAACGACTTTAGGCTACAGTCAAAATAGTAGGCAGGGTAAAAAAAGGTATAATTAGAAACTCCGTCTGGTAAATTCAACATATAGAATCGATTAGCATTGCAACACCTAATATCCTGTCAATCACAACTCCTTTCTTAATGAAGCTGTTTTCTGTGTGGTTTTACTTTTTTATGCTTATATAGGATCAGGACGTGTAGCTTTTAATTCACCACAAGGTTATTTGGCTGCTATAACAACAAATTTTATTTGTATTGAATGTCAGTTGTTCAGTAAAGTGGTAAGTTTTTACTATACTTTTCTTTCATTGTATTACCTATATGTGTTCGCCTATTTGTTTGTAGTGTAAATGCATTTACACAAAATAGTTTTTAGTGAAAGAGTTTAGATAAACACTGTTTTCAGAAGTCTGACAGAGGTATGTAATTACTCATGTTACGCATAATATCGGCACAAATTGAGTGGTGAACTAGGTGAAGTAATAACTGTATCAGGAAAGTATAAATAATTTTTGAAAACACGGAAAGCTTGAAAACAGTTATAAACAGTATTTCAAGTATACAATCTGAAACATGTACAACTCGTGGAGAGTAGAGTTTGTATGATAGTAGTTGCATTAACCTCTCTCTCTCTCTCTCCTTGTTATGCACACTCGGAATTCAAACAGTTAAACGTTATCTTATTTATTTATTTAAACATATAAACATTGATACAAGCAGGCAACAAATAGATATGTGCCACATAAATCATTCCATTTGTGTGATAGCTTGGATACCGCTCGGATAACCAAACCAAAGTAGGTGGTTTCCTCAGGAGGCCACATCCCGAGCCTTTGACCTAAAGGTCCAATTCACAAGGCAGCGAAGCAACGTCAGGCGATTCAGTCTCATGGTAGCCGGTGACCAACATTAGGTTCATACGCCATTCGTTTCCTCAGGATCCTGGAGCCCATGTGCACCATTGGTTTGAAATCAGGGTTTTCCAACTCCTCTAGGTGAATCCTGCATACCCACTAACCAGGTTAAAGCGCCGGACATTCGCTTTTCGTCCTCTCATATTTGTAAACAACAGTAATGCAGCGAGAACGCAGTGAATAGGACTTCCCTGGCAGTGGTTTTATTCAAGTGGCCATATGAGAGCATTTGGAGAGGGAGAGCTGACTCTCATCACTCTCAACCGTACCAAGGTATTTGTATAGTCATCTTCCACAAAGCACTTACAGTATTTTCTTTATATACGATATATATCTTTCTGTTTACTCTTTCCCCTCCTCTTTTTTTAGATACAAATTGATCCATATTTAGAAGATGCTATCTGTTCCAAATGTTATTCATCACCTGGAATTTATTTTTGTCGTCATTTAAAATGTTTCGATTATTTTTGTCCTAAATGTTGGATTAATTATCATGGTTCATCAAATACAACACATAAACCATTAAGACGTACATTAAGTCCCAATTCATTAAAATTTCCTAAGCATTTCTAATTATCTTAATAGTTATTATATAAACATTTAAAGTTTACTATTATTATTCTTTTAACCTAAACATACCCACCCCCTCCCGTAAAAGTACATATATATATATATATATATATATATATATATATATATATCCCTATACCCAATAGAAGCTAATTGTCCACTCATATTAAATCTTTTAAGTTTCTCATATAGATACGGAAAGTCAGTCTAGAAACCCCTTGTATAATTTGTTGTTTTTGTTATTAACAATAAAAGTACAAACAAAAAACCTCCATGACGTTTATATACATTTTTACTGTAATTTTAGTCTCACAGTTTACATAATTTTCTTTCTTAAATTAATAGTCAAAACATTTTTTTTAAATTCCTTTAACATTTTAGTTACTAAGTCATAAAGAAATGACTTTATAAATGTGATAAATATATGTATGAAACAATTTATTGATTTTAGAATAATTGATTCTTTTGTGTTTTGGGTTGAATAATGGGATTTAATGGTTCAGGATCTGAATTAAGTTATATCGTATGTTTGGTTGTTGTCAAAATATGCAGCAATTGGGATGACTTTTCCGGTTTCCCACATTGTATGAGCATTCCATGTATCTAAATTAATGGTTGCTCTGGTTGTCAAAAGGGGGCATCAGCCTTGTGATATCCGAAGGAACTCAGCTTTCACCATGCGGAGTCATAACTCTTCTAAATGAAAACCTAATTCCCAAGACAGAGTTTAAATGATTTGAATTATTTTTTCTGGTTAGCGTTTTTTCTGGAGAGTTAGTTTTTTAAAGGACCATGATCAACCCTCCTCCTTTATCAGTTACAACGTAGGACCAGGCACACATATGCATCGTTCCATGTTGCAATACCTCATTAGCACAACAAGATCAACACCAAATTCATAGTAGTTAATTCAATCGCAGCAATATATAAACGAAAGATTGTGTATAACGACATAGTACAGGAAGAAATAATTAGTTGGTAGAAAGAAAGATATAAAACAATTCTAATCTCATAGTCTAAGGGAAGATAGAGAGAGTATACACATACGCCATTGTGATCGATTCTGAACCATGTCACCAAGAGTCTCCAACCATTGGTTACGATAGTTACATGGACCCAAACCAAGTAGTTTACATCTACCAACATGGCTAAGAATAGAAGTTAGTGACTTCAAGCACTGATGCCAAGTTTTGGTTTGATCACCCCTAGCTTTCTCCCAATCATCCCCAACACTAGTCAGTATTGTGCGTCGTGGTAATGGGTGTTCAGGCATAGAAAACACGTGACCCAACCATGTCAGTCGATGTAGATTCACAACCTCAACAACTGATTTATCATCATTCCACAATACCCTGTGTCATTCATTCATTCTAATTCTTTGAACTCACTTCAACTGCTTACAACCTGTAATATTCGCACGGCTGTGGTATGAACTATGTACCAACTGTACTCTTTAAAAATATGGAAACTGTACATCGAAAGTAAAATGACAAGTATTTCTTTCATAAATGATTAATAATATCGAATCAAGCTACAATAATACATTCAAACCTACATGTGGTGGCCTTGAAAAAAGTTTTCACGTGTCTCTTACTTCCTAACCTACATACAGTCGTTATCTAGGATATCAAGTTTTTCGATCACCAATTGCTTTTGTAGCAAATTTTTCTTCACAATAAATTGGAGTGCAAAAGTGTTTTACGTGAATTGATCATTGTGTGTGTCGCCTCCGTGAAATTGATGTTGTTTTATAAAAAAGTAAGCAGTCGGTCGGAATCTACTCGGCTATTTTCGCTCGTCTTGTATACACATCTGACACTTTGATCATTGACCGATAAGCTAGAAGGCACATTCACCGTGTGAATATTTCTCTATTTATCTGTCCAGGTTTTTAGTTAACATCTCACGGAAGAACAAATGAATGTTTTTTCCAGATTGTAGCATGTTTAATTCTATTTACAGTTGGAGATTACACAAAAAGTAACATAAACGTTTCATGACATTCCCAACTACATATAATCGGCATAAAAGATTATGCGATTTCGAATGAATTTATGTTAATGCAGCAGCTATCATTGGTGAATCCCATTTGACAGTTCAAGGCAGATTTCAGTTATCAGTTGAACGCTTGAAGAATGACAGAAATCGACGGAGCAATTCTGGAGTCACACGGATAGTGAAGGTGATAAAGTTAAGGACATTAGGTTGTTATGCAAAGTCACAATTTGAAAGAAAAATAAAATGTTGTTGTTGGTTTGGTATATCTTGTGAAAACCAACTAGTTTCAAGAAAAGAGTAGTCAAACTGATTTGATCTGTAGTAGCTCAGACAAACTACTGAATCATTATCTCCATGTATCTGATGCTCTCGGAGTGAACATCAACTCTGAGATGCAGGTACATCCAGCTGACGAGTCCCAAATAGGATGAAACGCGCGTCCTGGATTCCACTGTCAGCCACCATCCATCTTTGCTTATAATTTTCACGTTTATTGAATAGTAGTTAGTAAAACTCTTAATCAATTATGCTCACATGAGCACTTTTCACTGGACAATTATTGCGTAACTCCTTTTCAACATCTGATTGTCGTCAATAATTCACGACAAGACACTACTTCAAGCTATCTTAATGGTTCAACACCAATTTTTTTTGCTACACACTACTACTTTAATGAATAAAACTAATTGTAAAAAGTTGTACAGTTCAAGTAAATGGAATCATTGAGAAGGAAATTTTCTTCGGTGAATTATCATCATTCCTTCTTTGTATCATTCTACCAAAATCATATTTCTTGCTCTTCACAATACCTCCTCTTTCTGATAACAACCATCATGTGCTCACTAGTGACTGGCTTCAAAAGGTATTTCCTGGAGCTCTAGTGAGAAGCCGTGATTAGTGGAGTTCAAGAGGGTCTGTTGTGAGATAGTAACTCACTGAAGACAATGATGGGTGATGGCGCAATTAACACCGTCGGATGCTGAATCAGTGGTCTATATGTTAAGCGCCCCCACGCAAGACTGGAGATTCATACAGTTTTCTTCTAGGTTATTCACATTATTTAACATTGAAATATTCAATCATGTGAAGATCAATTTTCTTTGATGAGAAAGTTTCTGACATGACGATTTAACGTATGTACATAATTTTGTTTTTGAACAATTTATACCCTTAATTCTAGGGTGTAAAAGACTAAATAGAGAAGGAAGGAATTCACCTCTGTTCGATTTAGCCCCCAAATGCCCTGGTAAGGCCGAGAGTGGGATGAGTCAACTCTCCCTCTCCAACCGCTCTTACATGGCCACACCTATACAGCCACTGTCAGGGAAGTACTATTCACTGACTTCTCGCGGCATCACTGTTGTTTACGAAATTAAGAGGACGAAAAGCGAATTTTAGCTGCTTTAACTGGGTCGGTGGATATGGAGGATCCATATAGGAGAGTTGGAAAACCGTGGTTACAGACCAACAGTGTACATGAACTCCAGTATCCTGAAGGACAAAATGGCATATGAACCAATTGTTGGTCACCGGTTACCAAGGGACTGCATTTCCTGACGTTGCTCCACTGCCTTGTGGATAAGACCTTTAGGTCAAAGGCCCGGGTTTTGGCCCCTGGAGAAACCACCTACTTCGTTTCGGGCACCCGGGCAGTATCACAGCCCACGCACTAATTAAGTAACGCATATGTATTTGGTACCCCTTTGTATCAATATTTCTGTGTTCAAATAAATAATTAAAGTGTTCAACTTAAATAAAATATTTTAGTTTACGAACTTCAACAATATATAATCGAAAGTTGTTTAACGATTACTTACTTAATAAAATAAAGCAGTAGTATTTCACATATTAATTAAAGAATAAAACCAGTTAATTTGTGAATATTTCACATTGGTAAAAGCTGACAGTTAAGCAACCATCTAATGGACACCATCCGGATAGGTTAATCTATCTTACAATTCAAGTGTTACCAAATCATAATACAAACTACTATTGGTCAAGCCGTACAATTATAAATTAAATAAACGGAATTTATTCATTAGATAAGAACAATAGAACAATTATTAATTTATCTTATTGATATCAAATACCTCAACAACGAAAAATGTCAAAACTATTATCACTTATTCTTCAACCTGTTGGTATTGGATTTATTGTTTTAGGATTTTCATTAGATCGTTGGGGATGTGGTAGATTATTAGATTCTTGTTTACGTAATTATAAAACTACTACAATAATGTTAATGTTATTCTTAATAATTGGTATGTCATTTTTAATTGTTGCATTTTCACTTGATTTAGCAACAATTATCTCTTCATCTTTGGATGTAAATCCAACATTCACCTCTATTAAATTAATTTTATCACTTGTTGGTTTAACTGGAATATTTTCTGGTATTCTTCTTTATGCTATTAAAATAGATCGTGATTATTCCCAACTAATATGTGTTATTGGTATTGTATTAGCTTGTCAAGTTGCTTTACTTAATTTATTTTTATATCCATGTTTTTTTGAGAAAAAACCTAAAGTAGTAGTAGCAACAGTTAAGTAAATCAATATATATATGAATTAATACTTACTGTTAGTTACTACCCTATCCCCACCCCACCCCCAACTCTTTTGTAAGTTAGATTATATTTCATTCCAGTATTTAAATCTTGTTGTTTGAATTTATTCCCGTAAATATGTTTGTCGATTTACTGTCTATTCCCATTAACATTTTTTTTGATTTTTAGATGGATAACAGATCAATAACATTCTTCATTGATGTTAATTTAACCTACAACATAAATATTACTATAGTTGACTTATTTCTTATAATTGAATTATTTCACAATGAGTTGATATCAATCAAGAATATATCGAAAATTACCAATATTGTTTTAATATCAGAAGAGGTTTAGTGGATATTATAGTAATTTTAATAATTGAGTTCATGCGTCCTGGGTCCGAATATCGTGAGGCGGTGGGATCATGGATGTGCACTTCTGAAGAGTCCCATAGTAAGACAAAATGGTTGTCCAGTGCTTCCAGTTTTTCCATAGTGGTCTAGCTTCAATCTAATCATGATCTCAACTACTACAATATTGTTTTCGTTTAGTATTACTCATTAGTTTATGTACTATGATGGTATTTTATCATGGATTGCTTGAAGAGTGTAACTCTGCCTGGGGCCCCTCAAAGGCTACTGCTGGTCTCAAACCCGGATAAAGGAGAAAGGTTGGGCATGGGATTATCCATTCTATCCCGTAGAAAACTAACTCGCTGAAAAAACGCTAATTAGAAAAGCTTGAAAAGTGTAATATAGATAATTTGATCCTGTTTTGTCTGTTGAATGAAAACGTGTTTGTTGATTAGAACGTATTATATGGATGAATACTTGAATATAGTTTGAAAGTGGTTAACAGAAATGTTCACTTTTAAAATGATTACTGACGTATACATTGTCCGATTGGTTATATTTCATAAAGACCAAGATATTCGATAATGTTTATTTGATATTTACTATTTCATCACCATACATCTCAGTCCTAGAATATGATGATTATGTAATACTGTCAATCAGATTTAAGCTTATCAAAACTTGACTTGCGATCTTAGTTACTTTTACGTATGACAATCGATGGAAAAAATAGATGTTACGTCATGGAACGATGTTATCAAAGACAACTGCTTGTTTTTTAAGTACTGAATATAATTTATGTAATAGTCTTGGATGCAGTAAGAAACAAAAATTTATAGAAGACAATACCTACTTTAAGAATATAGAAATGATTTTAAACCAATAAGAGAACAAATGACATTAACTGTTTGGAAAAGTAAAGACAATTGGGCAATGGTAAAATAAGGGAGTGAATATAAATCTTTTGTACACAGAAGCCAGGTTTAAATTGTTGAATTGAGATAGCTTTAGCCGCGTACAAATGTCTGATACAAATCTTTTTTGAACCAGTTGTTTTAATACATAGATATTCCTAAACAATGATTTTCGAGGAGGTATGTGGTTAGAGTTGATCATATATTTAAGGATTAAGCTGTTGACTGGCTTACATTCACATTTAGGAACGCATCCATGAAAGAGCTTCAATATATATATCCACTTTTATTTAGGTTAACCACTATGACAGTTTGCATGACCCTTATTCTTTGATTTGAAAATTCATTAAATGTAATCTTATAATTCCATATAACATTTTGACAAATTCTCCATAGTGCAAAATGTACGTTGTCAAACCAACACTTAGATTCGAGTGGTGTCCTGTTTTTGTCTTTTACTTTTAGTTATCCTAACTAATTGTAAACACTGCATTAATACCTGAAGTGACCAATAAAGACTCAGACATGACTCGAGGCTGTTAGTACTGTTTGACATATTATTGGTTTAGCACATGAATAAAGTCATTAAAGTCGGTATCCTGCTTAGCAATTTTGTCACGTGACATCTGACGGACTACAGAACATAATATCACTGATAGAACTAACTGAGGAAGATCATTGACATCCTTGGATAAATGGTTTCATAACATTTAATTCAGTGTAATATGTCCTAAGAGATTAAAACTGATTAAATGATAAGTTATTCTACAATAAAATAACGATCAGTCAAAAATGATTTCAGTCAATTTGACATCAAGCTATACGTAGATTAGCAAAGTAAGAATACAAGGATGTGGTTTTGTCTTCTCACATATCACCAAGCCAGCACATAACTTCGGTTGTTTATTCAAAACTAAAATCTAAACTGACAGAAATCTGTATTACCAAAAGTTTGCATAATGTGTTTGCACAAAAAGATGATGAAATCAACAAGTTGATTAGTACCGAAATTAATTTAGTTATAATAGAGTTAATATTAAAGAGTAAACACTAAAGAATATGATTACTTACTTACGCCTGTTATACATCGTGGAGAACCATAGGCCATTCACCAGCACTCTCCATCCAACTCTGTTCTGAACAATTCTTTCCATTTGTTTCCAGTTGTTATTCATTCTACATTTGTGCTTCTATTTACCAACGTAGTGTGTACTTTATCTTTCCTCTTTTCCACTTTCCTTCAGAAGTTCAAGTCAGGGCTTGCCTCCTTATGCAGTTTGATGTTTTCCTCAATGTTTGTCCGATCCACTTCTAACAAAGACTATGATAAGAAATGAACAAAAAGAAAATCGGAGAATCAAAACTATTCAATAATAATAATAATAATAATAATAATAATAATAATAATAAATTAAAGTAGTATATTTACATCATTTCGATTCATGTTAACCTAAATTTCTGAATATTTATGATGGTTACAATATGAACTTTAAATTTGTTCACCATTTTCGTTTCTTCAGTCACAACTCGTCTTCTATACACATCTGACACTTTGATCATTGACCGATAAGCTAGAAGGCACATTCACCGTGTGAATATTTCTCTATTTATCTGTCCAGGTTTTTAGTTAACATCTCACGGAAGAACAAATGAATGTTTTTTCCAGATTGTAGCATGTTTAATTCTATTTACAGTTGGAGATTACACAAAAAGTAACATAAACGTTTCATGACATTCCCAACTACATATAATCGGCATAAAAGATTATGCGATTTCGAATGAATTTATGTTAATGCAGCAGCTATCATTGGTGAATCCCATTTGACAGTTCAAGGCAGATTTCAGTTATCAGTTGAACGCTTGAAGAATGACAGAAATCGACGGAGCAATTCTGGAGTCACACGGATAGTGAAGGTGATAAAGTTAAGGACATTAGGTTGTTATGCAAAGTCACAATTTGAAAGAAAAATAAAATGTTGTTGTTGGTTTGGTATATCTTGTGAAAACCAACTAGTTTCAAGAAAAGAGTAGTCAAACTGATTTGATCTGTAGTAGCTCAGACAAACTACTGAATCATTATCTCCATGTATCTGATACTCTCATAATCGCTTTGATTTATATTAACTGAAATTTCCAATTATCTGTAATGGTTACATTTTGAACAATAAATCTGGTCATAAACATTTCCTGACGGAGATAAATACAAGTTGATTACTGTTCTTGGAAACACTTTGTTTATACATAATTTTTGTATAATCATAATTTCATTGTCTAGGAAACATGAATTGTGTTGAAATTTGGTAATATTTCATGTTAAGAATAGTAGATTTTTAAAATGGCAATAATATGATGGTATATTACACAACCATCTTTATTATTCCATTATATAATTGATTAGGTATACACTGGTCGGATGATAATATTGATTCTACTATTAGAATCATTAGGATGGAATGTTGTAATTAGAAAGAATTACCATTTTATCGACTTTTTTCATACAAACCCAATACAATTCATTAAATACCATAACACCACATAATTAATTAGAAATACCTTCATTTAAAATACTTGGTACTTAGTAAACCTCCCGCTCTCTCTGTCTGTCTTGTTGTTAATGAGAATTAATGAGAGTGACAATCGATAAAATCAAGTATATTGTAGACGTCTGAGTATAAATCTTCGGACATATTTATTTTGAATAGCAACTAGGTGATGATATTGTAGTGATAGAGAACACAAAATGGGAGACATTTGAATGTATTTGAATACAACACTACAGAATCTGTTAGTAAAATCTGACAACCATATAGTAAATACTTCATTTGTAAAATATCAGTCGATCGTCTTAGACTTCATTGTTCTTTCGTTTCCACACTAATCATTCTCTGTTCTCATGCTCTTTTCTTTTATCTGCTCAATCTTCTGCTACCAGGTATTTCACTGTCGATTGATGATATATACTATTTATATCTATCGGCATCAATAGCACACACCACAATATAGTTGTTAGAATGTTTTTTTCTTATTATTTAGGGATTAAAATAATGGATTGTTTAGTGATATTTGATCAGTTTGAGAATCAAATCTCCTTATGATTTGTTAGCACGAAAATGTAATATGCTGATGACTTTTATTACTAACTTGATGATTACAATGACATCTAGTGATTGCGAATTGTCGATCTCCACAGATCACATCACAATTCTATCTTCGTTAGGAAACTCTTAACACGTGTTCAATCTTGGTATGTGACTCTTCAGCAACCTACCTACAAAACAGAATCAGGAGTTACGTACTAACACTAAACAACTATTTAGTGTTTCTGTGATGATTAGGAGTATTTGAATTATAATACAAACTAGGAATTCTAGAAATAACGCAATTTAACCAAGAAGTACTAGATGAGCACGAACGAACGTATTATATTTGGAATTCGAAATCAGGCAGTCATCGAGTACAAAGGAATCATTAGTTCATACAAACACCACAGTTCCCTAATTATCTATTATATCTAAACTGAGATCAATCTATGACGAATACAAACTACATATTAAACTAATCTTTACAAAATCCCTTCAATTAAATTGTGATATTTCTTTTCAATCAATTTTGCATCATGGTCCTATATCAGTATGTATGTTTACCACTACTACTGATTATAATGTGATTATCATGAGATGTTTTATGGGGAAGAAGTAGGTTGGAAGAAAGCTAGTGGCGGCCAGAACAAAACATGGCACAAATCCATAAAGTCATCGACAAATGGACTGAGTCATGTTGGTAGATATAGACTACCCGGTTGGGATCCACGAGACTATAGTAACCAATGGTTAGAGACCTTGAATGACACGGCTTAAAGTCGTTTGTAATGGCACCAAGTGCATCCACTCTTTGTGTCCTCCCGAATTCTAATCTCCTGAATTCTCCTTGTCTCTTTTTTGTCTCTTTCCAAATCCATTTCACTGTATTATACTCCTTGAATAACATCTT